ACCCAGGTATCTCCGACTTTCATCTGGGGCGCTGTATTCCCCTCAGACCAGAACGTTCTAGTAGGAACACGCGAGGCTGCCAGCCTCCTAAACGATCTGAATCTGGGTCGAAGAGAGGGCAAACCATTCACGCAACAATTTGCCCGTGTGTTGTCAGTTGAAATAAAGTAACACAAAAAGAACCCCGGGTATTGCAAGTGCCGTAAAACTCTTACCAAAACAGCAACAGCAAAAATTAAATAAATAAAAACAACACAAAAAACAACACCCCCCCCCACCCAAAAAACCCCAACAAACCAACAAGTGTTGAAGGGAGTTGGCTGCAATTATTATTCTATAATAATAATATAGCACAATGTACTGAACAGGTAATTTTTTCAGAACTTTTATCATTGGATACAAGAATGAACGAATAAACAAGATAACTTTCACAGCAGGGACAAATTGTGGAAAAAAGAATAGATAAGTACATTCTGCTTGGTCAAGCGGGTGAACAAATAAAGAAACGAACAAGTCAGTCACTCAATGAATCAGATAACCATGGAACCGTTTTTTTAAATTTTGCCAATCAATCCCACCATCACTAAAACAAGGGATTAGACAAGTGCTTGCCAACCAGGGCAATATTGCCCAGCATTGCGGGATTACTTCATTTTAGGTAGGAATTGGGAAACACCCCGGAAATCACAGGTATTATTTCATTAATGTCCCGTTTGGAAATACATGTAGGTGGTCGGTATTCAAATGCTAGCCTCTTAAATGTGGGTAAAGTGGGCATTGGCTATACAAAGGTGCACAAGCACTGAATTAGATAATTAAGAAGCTGTTTTGTCGCCAATCAATCACATAATCTATCAAACAAGCACTTAGACTTTTATTGTCAGTCAATTCTATAAGAGCAGAGCGGCCACTCTGTGTTAGCTCTGTTGGTATCATGGTAAACCACGGATTAGATGGCCCTGGTTTGAATCCAAGATCGAACATTCTTGAACTCGGGTCGTTTTGTGGAGTTTTCAGGGCTCCTAACTCATTCGGCACGGTCCCATGGGAGACAGACGTTAAACTCGAAAGTTCCTTTTCATTGTTAACGTAATAAATAGTGTTGATAAGGGTGTTATGCCCCTACCCCGACACCATTAAGAATAGAACGTCTCATAAATTTAAGCTATCTCTGTTTTCTGCCTGTGATCTATAGTTTTAGATTGAAATTGAGAGAAAAGAAGCAAACACCCCCCCCCCCTCCCACAGTAACTGTCTTTCACGAGAAAGCAAAAAGCAAGACTGAGGCACAGAAAACCCCCAAATGAACAACAATTTATTATATAGAGAAAAAAAAGTAGGATTTACCAGTGGCGCCCTCCACCCACCCGCTGTGTTCAATATTACTCTTCTGCTCTTCTATGACTCATTGTGTACCGAGACTTGAACCCATTCTCTCCGCAGGTGGAACCAGGGTATGTCCTTGGTCTGGAATACACCTTAGGAAACGTGGTCCTTAGGCGTACCACAGGCGCTTCCGACGAGACAGACTTGCAGTTCCTAAGTAGCAGTGACTTCACAGTGAGCTTGGGGCTCGATGTCAATAAACGACACTCTCTGAGGGCCGTGGCTTCTGGTGGATCCAAAGTGAGTTGTTGTTGTTGTTGTTGTTGTTGTTGTTGTTATTGTGGTTTCTGTTGTTGTTGTTATTGTTGTTGTTGTTATTATTGATGTGGCTTTCTCCGTTGTTGTTGTTGTTGTTGTTGTTGTTGTTGTTGTTATCGCTGCTTCTGCTGCTGCTGGTGTTGTTGTTGTTGTAGTGCTGCTGCTGCTGTTGTTGTTGTTGTGGTTTTTGTTGTTGTTGTTGTTGTTGTTGTTGTTGTTGTTGTTGTTGTTCTTCTTCTTTTTCTTCTTCTTCTTCTTCTTCTTCTTTTTCTTCTTCTTCTTCTTCTTCTTTTTCTTCTTCTTCTTCTTCTTCTTCTTCTTCTTCTTCTTCTTCTTCTTCTTCTT